TTTTAAAATTATCTATTACTTTTTAAAATTATTTTAATTTTATTTAATTTAACATAACTTCACTGGTTTTGGTAATAAAATTTTATATCTTTAATTGTATGGTGCCATATAAATTGTCATGTGATGTAAAAAGGAGGTAAATTTATTTCAAAAATTTTCACAATGTAAAGTAACCTTTTATATTAAAATTTAACTCTAAAGAAACAACAGAAAATTTTCCTCTCGTTTTCGAGCTACGTGGCAGCTTTTATAGCCCCCTACAATCAAAAACTTGAAATTTCATTAATTTAATTAATGGAGTTGCTTTAAACTAAATAAAATTAAAACAAATTTAAAAGTTAATAGATACTTTTAAAAGAAAATAAATATCTTAGACTAAACCAAAAAAGAGGTCAATAATTAATAAATAATTTATTAAATTAAGCTTTTAAAATACATATAATAATAACAAGAAAAATAGACTAGAGAAAGTATATTATAATGCAATTTGATTGTATCACATTATATAATTTAAATCGTATCACATTATATAATTTAAATCATTATGAAGAGCAGGTAAGACCATCTTCAATAGTTGTGGATTTGGTCAATTTATAATTCACAGCAGTCTCCGACTATGAAATTAAAAATCTCTTAAAAAATCAGTTTTTATCCAAAAAAAAAAAAGTTAACGATTTAAATAGTTCAGTAATCATCTGTGTTCATTAAAAGTAAGAGATTTTAAATTTGAATTGCATGATATGTGAATGGAGTGAGATAAAAGATGAGCGATACTTGTTTATTGTATAACTAAAAAAAAAAAAATAATGAAAGCCATGGATTGGAGGCCCAAGTTCTACGGGACCACATAGCCCATGGACATATACCCAATAAGCATGCCCATCCCATTGTACTTGGAATTGGGGGTCCCTGTCGTCTGAGCTGAGCTGTCCTTCACTTTCCTCCTCCTCCTCCTCTCTTCGTCTCCGGCGCATAATATTCTCTTCCTTTTCCCTTCCGGGTCTTCACAGACTCTCACTTAGTCCACTCCACCCTCACCCCTCCGCCTCCTCCCCCAGTATTCCGATTAGGGTTTCCTGCTTCTCTCTCTCTCCCCTTTTCTTTCGCATGCTCTAATGCTTCGTGACCACAATATCCTAAACCCTCAATGTATGCTCACTCCCAACCCATGAATCTCCCCTCCCAGATCCCTTCCTCCTCCGCCGCTGAACCTGACGACGACGACTCTTCTGCATCTCCCGTCCCCGATTCCCATCACCACATTCCATATGACCCTCAAACTGACGCCGTTCTCGTCGAGGGCGTCGGCTCCGATTCTATATATGTAACGGATGCTGGCGGCCCCGACTTGACGGTTCAGCGGGCTGATGGGTCCAGCCAGCTGACGCTCTCCTATCGAGGGCAGTTTTATGTCTTTGATGCTATTTCGCCCGATAAGGTATTGTATTCCTGTTTCGTGGTTCTTATAAAATTGGGTAGGGTGGGGTGGGGATTGTTGTATGGCTGGCGACAGAATGTAGGAATTTGAAGTTTTGATTTTTTGGTGATTTGAAAACCTAAAAGAACCTAAATTGGTGCTTTAATTGAAGAGACTTTGTTCCTAGTTAGTTTCACTTATTTAGGTGGGAATTGAAATTTTAATTATGTTTTCTTGTCTTTGAATTTCCTAAATCTAAACAATATATTGTAAGACTATGGTTGTGCTTTTTACTAAATGTGAATCCCTTATTCTGATCGAGTTTTGCAGCTTCAATCGGTTCTATTACTGTTGGGGGGATGCGAATTGGCTTCAAATTCCCATGAAGTGACACCTCTAAACCAGAGGGTAACTGTGATGATTGTGTCTTTAACTTCTTGGGGTATTCTTGTTTTCTGTTTGCTTTTAATTACCTGGATTTTGTCTAGGGTGTTGTGGATTTTCCAGGTAGATGTAATCAACCACAGAGAGCAGCCTCATTAAGTAGATTTCGACAGAAGAGAAAAGAACGGTGCTTTGATAAGAAAGTCAGATATAGTGTCCGCCAGGAAGTGGCACTTAGGTGCGTATTTATTGTACTTCCCTAAATGCCATCATGATAAGTGCTTGTGGTTACTGCCATTACTATATAAAATCAACTGGAAGTAGTGGGATACCCAAGTAATTGTTCATGGTTTTCATTCACTGCGTGAGAGATTGCCTTGCCTTTTGGAAATGGTCTTTGGATTATATGTATTTGGTAAGTTATTGATTATGATTTCTATGACTGAACCAGGATGCAGCGCAACAAGGGTCAATTTACTTCTTCCAAAAAGCCTGAGGGATCATATAATTGGGGTAGTGGTCAGGATTTGGGACAAGATGATGGCATGACAGAAACATCGTAAGTTTTCCTATCACATCTTCTATAGTTAAATGCTTTGCAGATTGATCATTTCTTTCAATGACAGTGAATTTCTACCTATGCACAAATTATATACTGTTCTATTTTCATTTATGCTGAATTTCTTAGCATGTGCCATTTACCCGCTTGTCCAGGTGCACACATTGTGGTGTTAGTTCAAAGTCTACTCCAATGATGAGACGTGGTCCATCTGGTCCAAGGTCTCTATGCAATGCCTGTGGGCTTTTCTGGGCAAATAAGGTTTGCAACTCTACAATATGATATCTCAGATGTCTTCACTTTGCTAGTTCTATTTTATTTTACTTTTTTTTTTCAAAATACATGTCTACATACTGATTGTTGTGGTTGATTGCGATTAAAATGTTTAATTATGTAATCTCATTCTGTGAAGCTGTTGAACAGGTTTATTTGTTCAATATATTCCAATTGTATTAGAGGGGGGGTGCCTACCAATCAACTCTGATCAATAGGCAATGGTATTGGAGGGCAAAGCTAAAATTTATAATTTTCTGGGATTTTTTCTATTGTTTTGGAAAATTCTAGGGAGAGGAGTGGCATAGCTGGAAAATATAGAATTAAAACAGGGCACTTAAAGTTGAGAGAAAAGTATTTATATGAAATACTTTTGTTTCCTTCACCTCCAGTGTTCCAGCAAAATTTGATGCTTCCCCATTTACTGAACAAAATTAAGGTGCAAAAAATCATATACCCAACCCCGATGAATATTGTAGGATTGTACATCAAATTGGGGTTATTTAATTTTTTGGAATAGTGAAAATTTTTATCCTAGTATGATTTTAATTTATTCTAGTATACATTATGCATTCTACTTTAGTCTATGATGCATGGATTTAGCTTTTCTTTGTTCACCTTCCACCTTGAGATATCTTGAGGCACATAAATAGGTTTAGATTTAGCACTTCTAAGCCTGTTAATGGGATAACTGAGCTGGCTGTTAATTCCATATACTCAGAAATGACATTCCCGGCAATCTTTTAGTGATTTATAATTCCTTGACATTTGATAAGCGCGGGCTTTCTTTGTTTCAAATTGGGGGCTTCTTTAAACCAGAACTTGGGACTTTGTGTGGTAGCATTACTTGAAGATTTGCTTCAGTTTTATGAGTCCTGACATGTATGTATGCACTCTTCTATGTTAAAATTTTAGTATCTTAACGTCTCTTATGAGGATTAAACTCTGTAGGGTACTTTGAGGGATCTTTCCAAGAAAAACCATGATCATTCCATTACTCCCATTGAACAGGTAAATTTCTTAGTATACATACAGATTACAGACTCTTTTCTTTATCCTCTGCTATGCTTTAATCTCCTTGTATGATTTGGTTTGCTGTTTGCATTTTCGTGATATATAGGGTGACAGTGAAGCAAATGACTCCGACTGTGGGACTTCCATCCATACAAATGACAATCTAGTTCCTTTCTCCAACGGTGATAACTCAGCTCTAATGGCAGAGCATTAAAACACCTCTTCTCTTCTATAGAATAGACGTCAGACATGTCAGCTAGGTAATTCTAGGAACTTCTTTCAAACTTGTCCCATATGTACAGATATTATTATAATGCCTTGATCAATACATGAGGCTTCCTTTTATTCTTCAGTACTTTGCATAAGATTACCTATTGAGAAGAACATGAACATGCTTTGGATTGGATGTATCCCATAAAGCTTCGATTATTTTACCCTAGTAATTTATATCCCATATGTCTATCGATCTTCTTGGCCCTTTCCAAGCACAGTTGATGTAGAATTTTTGATCTTTTAGGTGTTCAATTGACAGCAATCCATGCATGGACCATTCAGAGCTAACGTCTCATTCATTCACTGCACCTTGCACGCACTGCTATTTCTATTATTTGGGAAAACAACTGCATTATTTATTCCCACTTGGAAAAGCCATAAAATTTTGATTTTGAAATTTGAAAGCTGGACATTATTCGTCTGAATCCTAAATTTGTGTGAGAAATTTCTGCATCTGGACCACACTTTAGTCAACAGCAAAGA